TTTTCAGTGTTCGGTTTAGTTGCTCTTTTTATACGCTTGGCATGGCCATATATAGCACAGATATATATCGTCTTCGCGATCATTAGCTTCTTTTCAATGGCATCTACGAAAAAGTGCCTCCTGCCAATAGTCTCTTGTGAGCGAACAAGATATATATATCCTTCATGTATGACTCGATATGACGTCATGTCACAAGTTGACAATCACTATTACCCGTGAATTTTAATAGACTTCACTTAACGAAGCAAAACTGACCAGTTTATGAGCTAGAAACTGTACTTCTAGAATAGTCAACGGAGTTGTTGCGTCCGTGTTGGCCGGTGGTGTGCAAACGGACGCAACAACTCCCAACATTGTTGGCCCCAGAATGTTGGGAGTTGTCGCGTCCGTGTTGGCCGGTGGTTTGCAAATTCGTATACAACAACTCCCAACAATTTTGGGACCTGCAGTGCATCATAGGAAGGTTACAACCCATAAGACTTTGTTGACCGCGTGTAATGTGCGTGCGTGGCCCCAGCAATATTGGAAGACTGTGAAAGGTTTGAACCCAGGATCAGAGTCCTTTCAAAAGGTTGAGTTTGATCGTCTAGGTGAACGTAGTCCTGAATAGGACTGTTGTTGTCACATTGCTGAGTACCATTTAAAGACGAAACTTCAAATTGACTGAGACTCTGCGACATGTATAACGTATTCTACAGACTACTATCGACGTCTTACTTTAGAAAGCTGGTTTACTAACTTAGAGCAAACGCCACTGAATCGTAGCCAACAGTTACCAGCGCCGTACAAACGACTTATTGACGAGATCAAGCAAAACTAACTAGGAGAGAACAACTGGAGAACTGACAATTTGACTAACAATAGACGACTGTTTAACTGTGACAATAGACGGATCGAAACGCACCAATCACTGATTACGAGTCTTCATAGCCAATAACATCACGTCTTAACTGACAGACGACCAATAACATCGCGACATAATTGACCAATCAGATCAATAACCAGAGTATAATACCATCAACTGACGTGATACAACTCACTTTGACTCTGAAGATGACTACCGCACAGGTTGTCGAAACGTCAGTCACTGTCAACAACAACAGTCCTATTCACCCGGACGATCAAACTCAACCTTTTGAAATATTGGAAGAGCTGTGCAAACTGATCCAACATTACCGCGCTACGCTTCGGCGATCAAGGAACAAAAGAAATTTTACAGTTGTTGTCTCAAAAGTTTGACCGGTTTCAAACTTTGCGCAACAACTCCCAACAACACGCAACAGGGTGTGCAATGCAAACGGACGCAGCATGTAACATCTATCAATGTTGGGAGCCAAGATTATATGTAACATCTAACAATGTTGCTTTAGTTTTCATTAAGAGCTTCTATAACTGGAAATGCAACCCTCTCTTAGAGACTGAAAAATCTGTATTAATTAAATAGCTTGTTTCTGTAATTTTATCCCAAGCTTGGTCTGTTAACTTTCTCAGATTACATCGTGTTCGCTCTTCACATAAATGATCATAAATGTTATTGAGTACTTTTTCTCAAAAGGGTCGAAAAAATGAACTCTGAAAAAACCCTTTTGTAAACAAGTTCTACTTACGTAAGAATGTAGTATGAGTTGGTCAAAGATTGATTGTGTTCAGCTATAGCGTGGCCTGATGTCTTCGTAGACAGACGCGTTTTATAGAGCGTATTCACTCAGGTGGCCAGCCTCTATGCAAATTTATTGGAACAAAAGAAAGGATTTACATAAGAAAAGAGTTCAACTCCCACAGGATTTTCTTGGTACACCAACATGGCCGCCGTTTCATTGTTTTGGAACGCCAATATTGCCGCCGTGACGTCATGTGAATACGCTCTACAACAAACTGTAATCTGCAAATTAGCAAAGTGTAATGAGTAATGTTCTTTGTGTCGTATGGTAATTTTCAAAGCTATTGCTACAGTGCTTTGTTCACGGCTTACAGGTGAAGTGTTTGTGGCGTGCCATGTTACGCAGGGATTACAATATTCTTAGCAAGCGAGAATGAGCAACCCACCCAAATCTTGTTTTCATTAAAAGCTCTGTGCACCGAGGACACACTAACTTTTTTGAGCAATTTAAACTAGTGCCCACCTTATAAATCGCGCGCCTCCTCTTTCTGAACAAGTGAGACCTCCTCAGTTTGAAATTAGGCAATTATTCATGACCTAATTGTCTAAGGGTGATCACGGGTATCTTTTAAAGGCACGCTTTTTATAAATTTTCGCGAAATCTGATCTTTTTTGAAAGACGAGGGAGGTAAATATAAAAACAAGAAAGCATATTTTAATTTTTTTATTCGTGGAAAAAGAAAGTTTTTTGAGAATTAAATCTTGCTGAAGTATCCCTTCTAAATAATGATAATAAAAATAATCAAATTTTTTTCCTTTTGATTTATTTTAGGCCTCTTTTAGTTTTTTAGTTTTTTGGTGGAGCCAGAGAAAACGGCGACCTCGTTCCCAGGGTAGCTTCCCGTTTTTCCACCCAGGGGACGAGCTTAAAGAATGGACCTTTTTCACTTTTCCTCCGTGTTTGCAGACGCTCATGGAATGATGGGATAAAAGCAATGTCACGTGGTTTGTCAGAGGACAAACAAATAACAAAAATTGCCAATACAAAACATCGCGGTTTCGTTTGTTTATTCTTGACAATAGATAATGAAGAATTTTTTTATAGTAAAGAGGATAATGGCAAAACATGGATGGATCATTGTCACTTTTTTCAATGCAGTGGGGACCTAAGATTTCCATTAAATCCTGTATCTGTCTAATTGTAGAGCATTTTAGGAGAAGCCACCCACAAAGTGAGCACAAATACTGGCAAGGCCAGCGAAAGCGTAAGCATGGGCACTGTAGAAGTTTTCTTTTTCATAGTAAAGGCTGGGAGGGGGTACTCAACAGAGTTTTAAATGGGGAGGCTCCGCCCCGAGGTCCAACCCCTTGCCCTTTCATATACCATTTTTGACTGAAAAGTACTCCTTTCTTATACCTTCTATTGACAAATCGTACCCCCCTCACATACCTATTTTAGAACTTTGCATCCCTTTTAACTGCTGTATATGCACTGTCCTTAAAATACGACTTTTTCCACAACCATAAAATGCATCTGTTATGCCTTTCATACAGACGGAAATACCCTTTCATATACTTCAACTGGTGAAACCACTACCCTTTCATAAGGGTCTTAATCGATTTTTTTTTTCTATTTTGACGGTTAAATTTTAGTGCTTTTGACGGTTGACTTTAACCAAGTGGAAAGTTAGTAATTTTTTGTATTTAATTAATTAATATTAACTGCTGTGCTTTAGAGTTTGTCTTAGCCTTTAACTTATGAAATTTCAAAATATTACAGATATTAAGCAAGTTGTAAGTTGTAAGTCATGGCAGCTGGTTTTTCCAGTTTAGAGAAGAGATCTGTGTACATCAGCTGAAATAGTGAGATTTAAAATACCTTGAAAATTTTTGACAGTTAATATCAATCTTCCTCTTTGAACGGCTAATGGTTAACCTCTTTCTTATAGCAGATTATCTCTTGGTATGCCACCAGCACTGCTAACCAGTGTCCCCTCTCACGGATTTCGTTTTTACGGACCTGACTTGGCACCTATGAACGCCTAGTCATTCTAGTCTTTTACCTCTGACTTGAAAGGATGCCGAAAAGGTCGACTAGAACAGATCCATACCCAGTTAATTGCTTCCCTGTATTCGCGCTGTGAATAAGGGAAAGGATTTAGCGAATTCGCGGTTCATCAGGAAAGGAAGGAAGAAAAACGCGAAACAGTTTTTCTCCCTCCTTCCCATGCGTCTTTTTGGGCGCGTCAATTTCCCTATCAATATTCCTTTGCGAATCTTGCGACAATAAATAAGTGGTGACTAGGTACGAGTCTTTGACTTGAAGTTTCCTTCTGGGAGAAAGCTTGAAGACACATTCTTTTTGTGTTAGATCTGTGTAGCGCGCGAAAATTTGGCAATACGCAGGTCGCAAATAGGTTCAATGGAGCAACGAACATTCACTTTCGAGCAACAGAACGCTCAACTAGATTTCGTCGTACAAGGGAACGTTCTCATCTGATATGGCACCATCATAATTATAAAAGTAGACCAAAAGCTCTCGGATATCTTTCAGGGAACTCATTCTCAAACCGTCAATAAAGTTAAGAAAAGTCTTCGACCGTCACCTCTACTGAAACTTAAAGCTTGTTTCTCTCGCCAAGTCGACGTCGTCCCTCCCCAAGCTGTCCTTTATGTCGCCGTCCACCTAAACTTAAGGTCGGTAATTATCACCTTAATCACCCCAACACTTAACTTAACACGTAACTTAATTTCATTTTGGCCTATAACTTAAGCAGAAAAAATAAACTCAAAACTTCGTGAATCAAGAAAAGGGTAAAATCCGATGTTCAGATGGTGAGAGAATACTTAAATGTGGTTATTTTATTGCTGGGACTTCTAATCCTGCTGTTGTGCTACCTGCTGCACAAGCTCATGTTATATTTTCGATCATAAAATAGTGTTAAATTATAAGTAATTGAAAAAGGTTTACCATTTGACGTAAACTAGACACTCCAGAGACAGATTAAAGCGGTATCCTGTTATAATAAAGATGTTTTGAAGACGAAAACACGAATAAAAAACTCACGTTCTCCAGACACCGCCGCACTCAGCTTTCTCACCGTCGCGACGTGCAGAAGACGACGACGTAGGTTGGACGACTGAGATATATGCTAATTAGCCCCAAATCGGGCAACTTCTATTTCCGGTTGCCGTCCTCCACCTTACCGTCCACCCTAACTTAAGGTCCGTATTATTAGGGTTAGAGGACGGTGAGGTGGTGGTTAGGGTGTAAGGACTGACTTTTTCTGGGTTTTTCGTGCGTAAATAATTCACAGGAGGCACCAGGAGGCGGGAGGGTTGATCGGGGCGGGTAAGCGACCTACTTACTGAACACCTACTTACTTTTACAGCAATCTTCATTTATTTCTCCATTTATTTTATATCTATTTCTATATCAAAATTCTATCTGCTGTACATCTACGAGATAACCATCGTTAACAACTATTTAGCGATTCAGTTATTACATCTCTGATGTCGCCCTTCGATAAGTAAAAATCTTTGAAACAATACAAAAACCTAGCTTTGCATCGGTTTTTCGTTTTTGAACTATTTTGAAAAAATAGCTCATATGTTAGTGGTGTGAGCGTATGTATCTTTGTGGCTTTGTAAATTCAATGTAGTATTTCTGGCGAAACAAAAGGTCTAATTCGCTTTATGGCGCCAATGCCGGAGGCAATCTTTTTGGGTAGATTGTCGATATGACTATGCCATATCATGTTAAATTATCAGTGAGAATCCCAAGTGATTTAGTAGTTGAAACTTGCTTTATAGGGATATTATCTATCGAAAGTTCAAGGGATTCAGATAATGTATTCAGTTTTTGTCGAGAACCAATTAACATAAACTCGGTTTTAGTTAAATTCAGAGTAAGTTTGTTGCAGAGAAGCCATTTGTGGATGTTACTTACATCACGATTCAGACTAGACTGCATTGAGTGTAAGTCTGCGCTAGCATATGTTATGTGGGTGTCGTCTGCATACATCCTAGGTTGGCAGAACGACAAACAGTTTGGCAAATCATTGATATAGATCAAAAATAGATAGGACCAAGGATAGTTCCCTGAGGGACCCCACAGCCCAGAGAACAGACTTTGGAAAGCGAACCATTGACTACACATTTATGGGTACGGTTATTTAAATACGACTTAAACCAATCGTAAGCAGACTCCTGTATTCCCTACAGACTAAGTTTACCTAAAACTAAGAACATCGCGATCAACGGTATCAAAAGCTTTTTTTAAGTCCAGGAAAACCACTGCATTTACATTACCGCGATCTATATCGAGAGCCCAGCTGTCAGTCGCTTCTAAGAGAGTAGTGACAGTCGAGTGCAACGAGCGGAAACCTGATTGTTGGTTGGTGATTATCTTTTCATTAGCCAAAAAACTATACACTTGATCATACACTATTCTCTCGAACACCTTAGCTAACATTGAGATAACAGAGATTGGCCGATAATTATTCACATCGGTTCGCTCACCTTGTTTAAACAATGGAGTCACTCTAGCGCATTTCCAGACATCTGGAAATAAACCAGAACTTAAAGAGTTGTTGAAAATGTTACATATCGTTGGATCAGAAATCAAAACGCCGGACATGCACAGAAGACTAAAAAAAGGTATTAAGTACATGAAGATGCTTTCTTTTCCTCACTGGCAATTTACATCTTTAACATATGAGGCTATTCTATTTTTCTTCAAAAATAAATTCAATGTTATGATTATTTCAATTTCACGGACAGACTACCTAATTGGGAATAAGCAGACTGGCTTGATTTTAAAGCAACTTCAGGAAGTGATCGACCATATATGGATCTTACGTGTTGCGTCCGTTTGCACACCCTGTTGCATGTTGTTGTGTCTTGTTGGGAGTTGTTGTGCAAAGTTTGAAACTGGTCAAACTTTTAGCTACGTGCAAACGGACGCAAGAACTCCCAACATTGTTGGGAGTTGTCGGCCAACAATCCTGCGTTTGTTAGCACCGGGCTTTAAGTCCCTAATAAATGAGATCTGTAAATTCTTACACAGGATTTGTTTTACAGTAAGTCTGCTGATCCCGCAAGGTCACATTCCACTAAAATGTAATAAACTTCCCCGACATTTAAATGACGAGAATTTGCCACAAGATCAAGAACAACGTTGCAAGGGTTTAAGGTTCTTTCGTCGAGAAAGCGGATTTCGTCGTAAGAGATGCCAAGCTTCTCTGCAAGTTGTTTCCATTCGTCTCCACCTGAAATGAAATTAATTGCATGAGCTGAATTAGAATACTTTAATATAACGTTCTGATATAAACGGTAGATATCAGACCATCCAAACCGTAAAAAATCGCCGTTTTCTCTAACAGCAACTTTAATACCGAAAGTGAGTTAAGGTACTATCACGATCAGTTGACTTTTTTAAAGTTAATATTCATCCCAATATTTTACGAAATTGCCAAATTTTTTCACATATTTCAATATGCTACTAACAAATTTCAAACGAGCATTTGGCAGGGTTTGTATGTTCCCAACACATCTTGTGGGGAACCAAGGTGACAAGTGCGTCGACAATGACGTTTCAAGAGACCACGATACCCTTGTCCAGCGGATTAACGCACCAATGCGCAACTGTCCCCAATGACTGAAAAATAGCAGGTAACAAACACAAAGATAATAAACGCGCACGTGGGCTATTTCACTTACCGCAGAGATTGAATGTCAAGGCCTTTCTCAGCTTAAAAGGGATACATCGTACATCAAGATGTTCAGCCAGTAACGGGCCTGGTTTATTGAACAAAAACACACGTTACCATTTGGCACTTGTCATTAGTCAAGAGGAACGAATGGTTACTCGTAACCTTTAAGGCAGAATAATAAGTAAAGCATTTTATATTTAAGACCAAAGAAGCTGACATTTCGTTTTAGTCCAGGGGCGGGAATGTTTGCTTTTTGGAGAGGCACATGAATTTAAGGCACTCTGTTATTTTGAATTACTATAAGAGTGCAAATAATGATATTGTCTTGTCTTGTCTTGTCTTGTCTAAGCAGACAAGGCAGATAATTTTCAGGGGTAATCAAGGTTTATTATAGGCTGGTACAATCAACTAACGATCGCATACCAAAGGAAAAGAAATGTTGGATGAAGTTGTATGTGGTTCCTGAACTCATTTAAACCTGACTCGACATACCCAATAACAACTAACACCGTCCAAAACGGTGTTCAAAAGAACGCAACATGCTACAAACTTAATGGAAACATTTCGTCCCTTGATCTACGTACCACCTTTATTTCTACTGTCAACTCACCGGTGGTTCCAGCGGGGGTAATGGACCTCAAGTGGGTAACTATGTCCATCCTGTTTTCATTTTTAGCGGTGATTGCAAGGCAACGAATCCACTCTTTGGTCTCCGGCGTTGGATCAACTAGTGCGGCTGGCCTCAACTGCAGATTTTCTACACTTTCTTCCATCTGAGCCACAACGTCCGCTGCATCACACGATTGAGACCGAATGGCCTTTAGAACACTATTAGGCAGAGCAAGTGATTGCTCTTCGGTTTGGAAAAAAGAAAAAAAAAAGAGAGGATTAAACACAAGGGTACTCAGGCCATATCGACACGAATCTGGACATTTTAGAAACCGCATATTTTTTTATCCGGGTTCGTGTAAGCGGGGCCTTAAACCGCTCTCGAGAGCGGTTTCAAAACAATGCGGCTTCGGTGTCCGGATTCACATGTTTCGTGTGGAAGGAAGGCCGATTCGCGATTCGTGTAAAAAAGGGTATGCGGCAGTAAAAATATCTGGATCGTTTGGACGTAGCCTCACGAGGGACGGACGCCGAAATAACCTTTCCTTCGCAACTTAAGTACGCCGAGGAACCTCTGAAAGTTTGCAGCGACGTGTTACAGCCACTAACTCACTGGAGCAGTACACTTACAAGGGACATGCAGCAGAGACATAAAGCAGGTGCCAAATTACAACATGCGCACACGCGAAAACATGTTGTGAGGATGCGTCAAGTTATGGATACGTCATGTTACGGCGCCAAAATGTTTTAAGTACGTCAAAGACTTTGTTGTAAAGGGTTGTGTAACATATATGCCACGTCAACGTAATCATAAAACTGAAGATAAACCGTAGAAGAGACTTTCCAACAGCTTCAACCTCTCGCATTGACTCATACCTTTCGCGTCTGTAGCGTGGCATATAACACTTGCTATTATCGATTTAGTTAGTGAGCTGCCGCTGCGACCGCAAAAACAATCATGATGATTCTATTGCCACTTTATACGGTAGACTGCCTTTGTCCGAGGAAGTATTTACCGTTCATTTGGTTTAATAAAAGGGGTATTGTCGATAACGACATTTTATTTTAGTTCTAGCAAACACAAGGAAACATTTTTCAGCTATTTTGAAAAAATAGCTCATATGTCAGTGGTGTGAGCGTATGTATCTTTGTGGCTTTGTATGTTGAGATGTTTGTTGCAAGAACCAATAAGGTTGAAGGTACTATGAGTTGACGCTTAGGAACCAATGAGATCTTAGCATCTATTTAAACATGGCATTGGTAACGGTCGAACAAGGGAACTTTGAGACCGCCATCTTGATCCTTCACAATTTTTTTTGTCTTTTATTACGGGTACAGGTGTTTGGAAACATTACATAAAATATCTTCATGATTCACACGCTGTGAACAGTGATGCAGCTGTTTAAGGGTTCATAATTAAGTCTGGATGCTGCTTCGAGGCATTTCTGACCTAATTCGGATATCGGTACAACGCACGTCAGTATGAATTCTGTTTCACCTGCTACAACTGGGTAGAGTATAAAAGATCATATATTATCAAATCTCTTCCAATGAAGCAATAATTGATATTTAGATATAGACTTTAATTCGAAAGTATACGCCCTATAAAATGTGGTTTTAAAAGTTTAAAAGGCAGCTTATTTTTTTGAAAGTTGGATCGAGTATTGTTAATCCTGTAAACAAGCTTTAAAAATATTATTCTCTCGCTTACAAAGTTCAACCGACCTTTTTCGTTCTATTTAGTAAAGATGCGTAACTTCAGTAGAAACAGTAGCGTTAGGGAATAAGATTGGAAGAAGCTAGTTGACACAATAATTAGGTACTGTTATATTGAATGGAGTAACATGATATAAGTAGAAATATATTTCGGCAGTTTGATAATTTTCTTGGAAGTTAATAAATGTTAGGCTATCAAACTTGACGTTGCATGAAACATAATTTAATTGCAGATGTTGTAATAAAGCCGCCGAGGTGATTTCTTAAAATCGTTTGAGAAAATTTTGTAGTAAAACAATTTGCCTCTTTTTTACGTACGAATTGTGAAAGGGCCAAAGACCAACATCTTCACATGCAAATTGTGTGCATGAGTTATTTTTATAATTCTGTTTACTAGATTACTGTGTGATAACTCGAATTCCCTCACGTACGAACCACGAAAGGGGGAAAAGTCCAACACTTTCACGTGCCAGCTGTGTGACTGTACATCTCATGCAGATTGGCTTTTCACAATAATAATAGTAACTTGGACGTACGAAGACCTGTTTCGTTCAGTAACCAATGCCTTAAAAAAGGCGCTTGTCTTTTAAGAAGCAATGGCTTTTAAAACATGACGAAATAAATTGTCGGAGTTAAAGACTGTTTCACAAATGTTAATAAATGTTAGGTTATCAACCTTGACGTTGCATCAAACATAATTTAATTGCAGATGTTATAATGAAGCCGAGGTGATTTCTTAAAATAGTTTAAGAAAATTTTGTAGTAAACAATTTGCCTTTTTTTGCGTACGAATTGTAAAAGGACGAAAGACCAACATCTTCACGTGCAAATTGTGTGCGTGAGTTATTTTTATAATTCTGTTTACTAGTTTACTGTGTGATAACTCGAATTCCCTCACGTACGAACGAGGAAGGGGGCAAAGTCCAAAACTTTCACGTGCCAGCTGTGTGACTGTCCATCTCATGCAGATTGGCTTTCCACAATGATAAATAGTAACTTGAACGTATGAAGACCTGTTCCGTTTGGTAACCAACGCCTCAAAAAAGGCTCTTGTCTTTTGAGATGCAATAGCTTTTAAAACATGAACAAATAAGTTGTCGGAGTTAAAGACTGTTTCACTGAGTAGAATCGCACGTGAAAACCTCGTGAATTATGATGATGCAACCATCTACCACAATGATAAAAATCCTGGTATTTCGTAACTATTCAGTATTCGATGAGTCACATTTTGGCTTAAGAAGCTCTGAGGAAACCTTAGAGTTTTCCTTCTAATCAACGTTTGGTGAGTAGAAATTTATTTCACTTTAATGATTTGAATTGTTTAACTTGCACCAGATGTAACAGGGAAAGACAGCGGAAAGTGAATATATAGCTTGAGGATCGACTCAGCTGAGCGTTTCGCGTTTTCATTTATGTACCGCAATACGCAATTTCGCACAAAAAACCAATCTACATTTAGGATGAAAGAGGTAGATTCATCACTCTTCGTAAGGTTACACCGAAGCATTAAAGTTGCACTGAAGCATTCAAAATAGCTCATGCACGTTTAACGTGCCTATGTTTTAGAAGAAAGGGGTGGGGATAGGAGAAGAGAGGGGGAGGTTATAACTGAGCCTCTCGAATTTTAAAACCGCTCCCCCTGACGGACTTTCCTTGTTCAAATACCCGGAAAAGGCGAATTATGACAACTGAAAGGAATTAGTGATGATGGCAGGATATACCAAACAAAAAAAAAAAATAAAGGATGTACCTCTCCTAGAGACTGCGTGGTGTTCACCTTGGTTGCGTCCATTTGCATCTTGTTGCTGTGACGAAATAAATGAGAGTTTAAGATTAAATGCGATTTAAGGCACGCCAGTCTTCACATTTACGTAAATATTTGAGAGTTCGTTGAGGATTAACATCTTTTCAGTACTGCAAACGCTATCGCTTTTTGCAGACAGAGTTGTACATGCAGCTTAAGCAACTGACTGCAAAAGAATCAGCATGTTACTGTTACTGTTGAAAACAAGTCAAGATGAGTCTTCTAATCTAATCGCTTATATATTTGTGAACTATAATTTGGAACGGAATATGAAAAAACCTAACAGTTGGTATGTAGTTTGGGTGAATGATTACTTTATCACTCGTTTTTTGGAATATGCGACAACAAACCTTAGTCAGAGAAATCCTTCCTTCTTGCCCGTCTGAAAATGAAAACCAAGGTACGAACATCTCTTTGCAAATCCTGCGAACCCCACAACCAACAGGTCTTTTACAAAATGGAAGGTTTTGCATCTCTAATTCTGACAAGAGATGCAAACACTCGCAGCCACGCAGACAATGATCACGGCATTTGGAACTCAATTTCTGCAGAGAACATACAGGACAAGAGACACACATTTCGTATCTCATATGTTCTAACCAGGAGCACTCTTTACGCATGCATTCAAGAAATAACCTCATTTGTCGACGAATGTCACGGCTTACATTCAGATCAACTTCACAGCTAAAGCCTGCTTGGTCAGCAAGAGCTTCACCATCTCCAACACACAAAACTATCTCGATGGACGAGAAATGGCACAGTAAGACGAGTGAAGTGGAATTATGAGGACGGATGTGAAACAAGGCAAGGTTATTGAACAGCAGAGGTTTAATAGGGCTCTTCCATCTTTTTTGGGCCCACACATGAAAAAGCACAATAAGTCGTGAAAAAAGGCCTGGTGGCACTCTGCGTGATTCAAACCTCACAAAAAGTGAGGGAATTGGCGCAGAAGCAAGTAGCTCAAGAACGTCACTTGTTGGCGGTGACCTCAGCATGGATGGTACAAGGTACTGTTTGGTGCTCACCTCCGATGGCCATTCACAGAGCAAGCTAAATTTTTTCATTATCGCAATGAGGCTTTTGCAGTTTTCTTGGTTAACAAACAAGTGCTTCCATGCATGATCTAAAAGCTTTTCAGCCAAGATACCATGATCCTCCAAATTGCGCCATAGTTCTTTAAAGTCATCTTCCACGTCCTCCCAACCTTTAAAGGTGATCACTTTCTTGAACACGTCTATGAGCCACTGCGGGGTCAAAATGACAACGTTTTCCAACTCTGGCGATTCAGTAAAATGAATCAAAACTCTCTGATCGTGTAAAGAGTTTAAAAGAGTTCGAAATTGCTTATCGTCGCAAATTCCACATTCTTCTGTACCAATCTGTCTTGCTTTCTCGACGAGTACCCAATTATAGCCCTCCTTGCTCAAGAGATGGAGTACATTTTCATACTTCAACCACTTCAGTAGAATGGCTTCGTTCAATTGTGGAAGCTTTTTGGCAAAAGAAAGCACTTTTCCTCTTAGTTTTATTACGCCTCGACATTCATCACCACTCCCTGACTTGCTATTGTCTACCACAAAAAGGCCTTTAAGAAGTTTTCCATAAGCTTCGTCTTTTAGGAAGCTATATATTTCGCTGTCGAGACCTCCAGGGTCCACATCAGTACGGTAGGGCTTGTCAGCATGCGTACACACCAAGAACACCGGAGGTAACATTTCTGGTAACAGAGTTTCCCGGTGGTTAGTATTTGAAACAGGTGAAGAAGAGACCGATGACATCCAAAAATCAAGAAAGTCGAGATTTGTTTTGCTACAGCAAGTGTCTTCTATCTTCCCAGACATGCTTTTTTTCGTAGGGGCGTTGGCCTTCTGGGATGAATCACGACTCACATCACAAGTCAAAATAGAGATGGCTTTTCGTGTGAGAAAAATTGGACGCGTATCATAGTAAACAGACTGTTCTTGAAAATCCCAAATGACGGAATATATGTCATCATCATCTTCATCGGTATTCATTTTAAGCAACCTCTGAACCAATGTCGCTTTTTCATCTGGTAGCTCCCGCTCACGTAGATGATCTTGGGAGTTTTGAAGTGACGGATCCATTACATTTCTAGGTTCTTTTGTTGAATCGTCTTTGGCTTTCTCGTCTGGTTTGAGGCCTTGAGGCGATTGATCAGTCATAACGCTCTCTATTACTTTGGACGAATCGGTTCCGCTGTTGCTAAGGCTCCGTGAATGAGGAGTGCTGGTTTCTTTTTTCAGTAAGCTTTCAACTACCAACTGGGCTACCTGATGCGCAAATGAAAACGTTGGCTCTGATTCGGTATCTTTGCTCTTCTTGCCTGTCCTCCAAACGTCTGTCGAGACCTTAAAATAGGACGGATCTGTCTCTATCCCTTCTGTGCTTCCTTCATTTGGATTGAAAAATTCCCATCCTTTGAAAAACTTCTTTAAACTGGTTTTCCCTGTTCGTTCCTGCCCAATTACAACGTTTTCCAACTCTGGCGATTCAGTAAAATGAATCAAAACTCTCTGATCGTGTAAAAAGTTTAGAAGAGTTCGAAATTGCTTATTGTCGCAAATTCCACATTCTTCTGTACCAATCTGTCTTGCTTTCTCGACGGGTACCCAATTATAGCCCTCCTTGCTCAAGAGATGTAGTACATTTTCATACTTCAACCACTTCAGTGGAATGGCTTCGTTCAATTGTGGAAGCTTTTTGACAAAAGAAAGCACTTTTCCTCTTAGTCTTATTACGCCTCGACATTCATCACCACTCCCTGACTTGCTATTGTCCAGCACAAAAAGGCCTTTAAGAAGTTTTCCATAAACTTCGTCTTTTAGGAAGCTATATATTTCGCTGTCGAGACCTCCAGGGTCCACATCAGTACGGTAGGGCTTGTCAGCATGCGTACACACCAAGAACACCGGAGGTAACATTTCTGGTAACAGAGTTTCCCGGTGGTTAGTATTTGAACCAAGCGAAGAATAGACCGATGACATCCAAAAATCAAGAAAGTCGAGATTTGTTTTGCTACAGCAAGTGTCTTCTATCTTCCCAGACATGCTTTTTTTCGTAGGGGCGTTGGCCTTGTGGGATGAATCACGACTCACATCACAAGTCAAAATATAGATGGCTTTTCGTGTGAGAAAAATTGGACGCGTATCATAGTAAACAGACTGTACTCCAAAATCCCAAATGACGGAATAGATGTCATCATCATCTTCATAGGTATTCATTTTAAGTAACCTCTGAACAAATGTCGCTTTTTCATCTGGTAGCTTCCGCTCACGTAGATGATCTTGGGAGTTTTGAAGTGACGGATCCATTACATTTCTAGGTTCTTTTGTTGAATCGTCTTTGGCTTTCTCGTCTGGTTTGAGGCCTTGAGGCGATTGATCAGTCATAACGCTCTCTATTACTTTGGACGAATCGGTCCCGCTGTTGCTAAGGCTCCGTGAATGAGGAGTGCTGGTTTCTTTTTTCAGTACGCTTTCAACTACCAACTGGGCTACCTGATGCGCAAATGAAAACGTTGGCTCTGATTCGGTATCTTTGCTCTTCTTGCCTGTCCTCCAAACGTCTGTCGAGACCTTAAAATAGGACGGATCTGTCTCTATCCCTTCTGTGCTTCCTTCATTTGGATTGAAAAATTCCCCTTTGAAAAACCTCTTTAAACTGGTTTTCCCTGTTCGTTCCTGCCCAATTACAACGTTTTGCAACTCTAGCGATTCAGTAAAATGAATCAAAACTCTCTGATTGTGTAAAAAGTTTAGAAGAGTTCGAAATTGCTTATTGTCGCAAATTCCACATTCTTCTGTACCAATCTTTCTTGCTTTCTCGACGGGTACCCAATTATAGCCCTTCTTGCTCAAGAGATGTAGTACATTTTCATACTTCAACCACTTCAGTGGAATGGCCTCGTTCAATTGTGGAAGCTTTTTGACAAAAGAAAGCACTTTTCCTCTTAGTTTTATTACGCCTCGACATTCATCACCACTCCCTGACTTGCTATTGTCCAGCACAAAAAGGCCTTTAAGAAGTTTCCCATAAACTTCGTCTTTTAGGGAGCTATATATTTCGCTGTCGAGACCTCCAGGGTCCACATCAGTACGGTAGGGCTTGTCAGCATGCGTACACACCAAGAACACCGGAGGTAACATTTCTGGTAACAGAGTTTCCCGGTAGTTAGTATTTGAACCAAGCGAAGAATAGACCGATGACATCCAAAAATCAAGAAAGTCGAGATTTGTTTTGCTACAGCAAGTGTCTTCTATCTTTCCAGACATGCTTTTTTTCGTAGGGGCGTTGGCCTTCTGGGATGAATCACGACTCACATCACAAGTCAAAATATAGATGGCTTTTCGTGTGAGAAAAATTGGACGCGTATCATAGTAAACAGACTGTACTCCAAAATCCCAAATGACGGAATAGATGTCATCATCATCTTCATAGGTATTCATTTTAAGTAACCTCTGAACAAATGTCGCTTTTTCATCTGGTAGCTTCCGCTCACGTAGATGATCTTGGGAGTTTTGAAGTGACGGATCCATTACAGTTCTAGGTTCTTTTGTTGAATCGTCTTTGGCTTTCTCGTCTGGTTTGAGGCCTTGAGGCGATTGATCAGTCATAACGCTCTCTATTACTTTGGACGAATCGGTCCCGCTGTTGCTAGGGCTTCGTGAATGAGGAGTGCTGGTTTCTTTTTTCAGTAAGTTTTCAACTACCAACTGGGCTACCTGGTGCGCAAATGAAAACGTTGGCTCTGATTCGGTATCTTTGCTCTTCTTGCCTGTCCTCCAAACGTCTGTCGAGACTTTAAAATAGGACGGATCTGTCTCTATCCCTTCTGTGCTTCCTTCATTTGGATTGAAAAATTCCCATCCTTTGAAAAACTTCTTTAAACTGGTTTTCCCTGTTCGTTCCTGCCCAATTACAACGTTTTGCAACTCTGGCGATTCAGTAAAATGAATCAAGACTCTCTGATCGTGTAAAAAGTTTAGAAGAGTTCGAAATTGCTTATTGTCGCAAATTCCACATTCTTCTGTACCAATCTGTCTTGCTTTCTCGACGGGTACCCAATTATAGCCCTCCTTGCTCAAGAGATGTAGTACATTTTCATACTTCAACCACTTCAGTGGAATGGCCTCGTTCAATTGTGGAAGCTTTTTGACAAAAGAAAGCACTTTTCCTCTTAGTTTTATTACGCCTCGACATTCATCACCACTCCCTGACTTGCTATTGTCCAGCACAAAAAGGCCTTTAAGAAGTTTTCCATAAACTTCGTCTTTTAGGGAGCTATATATTTCGCTGTCGAGACCTCCAGGGTCCACATCAGTACGGTAGGGCTTGTCAGCATGCGCACACACCAAGAACACCGGAGGTAACATTTCTGGTAACAGAGTTTCCCGGTGGTTAGTATTTGAACCAAGCGAAGAATAGACCGATGACATCCAAAAATCAAGAAAGTCGAGATTTGTTTTGCTACAGCAAGTGTCTTCTATCTTCCCAGACATGCTTTTTTTCGTAGGGGCGTTGGCCTTGTGGGATGAATCACGACTCACATCACAAGTCAAAATATAGATGGCTTTTCGTGTGAGAAAAATTGGACGCGTATCATAGTAAACAGACTGTACTCCAAAATCCCAAATGACGGAATATATGTCATCATCATCTTCATAGGTATTCATTTTAAGTAACCTCTGAACAAATGTCGCTTTTTCATCTGGTAGCTTCCGCTCATGTAGATGATCTTGGGAGTTTTGAAGTGACGGATCCATTACAGTTCTAGGTTCTTTTGTTGAATCGTCTTTGGCTTTCTCGTCTGGTTTGAGGCCTTGAGGCGATTGATCAGTCATAACGCTCTCTATTACTTTGGACGAATCGGTCCCGCTGTTGCTAGGGCTTCGTGAATGAGGAGTGCTGGTTTCTTTTTTCAGTGAGCTTTCAACTACCAACTGGGCTACCTGGTGCGCAAATGAAAACGTTGGCTCTGATTCGGTATCTTTGCTCTTCTTGCCTGTCCTCCAAACGTCTGTCGAGACCTTAAAATAGGACGGATCTGTCTCTATCCCTTCTGTGCTTCCTTCATTTGGATTGAACAATTCCTCTTTCAAAGACCTCTTTAAACCGGTTTTCCCTGTTCGTTCCTGCCCAACTATCATGACTGGCACTCTTCTTATGAAACCTCTTTCTTCCAAAAGGACTCTGTTGAAGGCTTCCTTGGCCCGGCTACCCCGGGCAAGAATCTCCGATGGAACTGAAGGTTTAAAATAAAACAACATTAGAATATACTAAAACAGTGGATAGTGTTTTTCGGGCGCTCTGATTGGCTACTCAATCAGTGAATATCCTGCACTTTTCACTGATTCACCTCCAGTTCCTCCGAGCGAGCGACGCCAAACTCGCGTAGGTTGCGAGCAAAATGCTTTCCCGGTTTGCTGCCGTAACAAACTAAGAAATTTTACAAGTAATCAAGCAAGCTATTTCCGAAATACATGAAGAAGGTGACGAAGTTCGCTTTGGAAGTTTTAACAGGTAAAGCTTTGTCTTTTTGACTTGAATAGTTACCGATAAAACCGGTGAAAAAGCTTTTTGTTTACAAATACAAATTAAGCTTACGTCTTGCGTTACTTTATTTAGTTGACTTGTTCATAAATAAGCTTAAAACTAAATTTAATAATCTTTTTTACAGAAATATTTTAAATACAAACAGAATTCACAACTCCTTTTGAAGAAACTTCCCCGCAAGAGCTAAACAAACGCCTTAGTTCAAAAGTTTTATTTGTCGCTAAGAAAAAGCGACGACCGCGGCCTTTCGGTCATCGCTTGGCAAAATTGTAATCGTTGGCAACAGTAAACGAGTTAAAAATCATCATTTTGTGCTCAATTATCTCACTGTTTTAGTATATACTAAAACAATTATTCACCTCAGTGTCGGTGGCTAGTATTGGAAATATTTACCTCGCCGATTCGCAGCTTCGGTAAATATGCAATACTAGCCACCCCCACTTCGGTGAATAATTGTTATTTAATGGGAAGAAAAGCAGAGAAACTCTAATATCTAGTCTACTCTACGACAAGAAATATTATACAGATAGAACTACAGTCTCAGTCAAAATTGTTGGGATACTTAACTGTCTTCCCGCTCTCCCAATGTTGCAGTAAAGGATAGGCTAACTTAACTGCCATAAACAACATTGAGAGAGAGGGGAGAATGGCGAGAAGGGAAAAAACAGCGTTTAGTAGAAGTGTCCCAACTATTTTTGTCGAAGACTGTGTTAGAGGAGGAATTCTGGGTATGACAAGAGGGCGTTGATACGGTACTTCATTCATAAGTGACGCAGTTGAAGTATGTGTTGCGAATGTTTCTATTTGTCGTGAAACGATGTAATTACCTGGAAGTTATTTTGGGAAGTTTAATACAATACAAGGAGGCCTGTTACTTTGAAAAAATCCAGTTTTAACACGACAGCGAAAACTGAAGCGGTTTGGATTTCAAGGGTACAATTAATAATGACACGCGAGCATGTCTGTAATACCTGTGTAAAATTCAGAGATTCTCAATAAGACAAGTTGCTCGAATGTGTCACATTCCTAAAGCAAGCGCGTGGAGAATAAAGAACGAAGGGCTTCTCGGCGATAAACAGTCTAAGGAACACTGCCGTAGGGGACGAGCCGTGAAATTAAGTCAAAGAGACGGGAGGCAGCTTGTGAGAGCACTTAAGGGACTGCGAGAAATAGAGGGCAACTTTTCTTGTCAAAGAATCATGCAAGAAGCTGGAATTTCCGCCTAAGATGTACCATTGAGAACAGTTAGCTTAACTACCGACTGCCACTTCGAAGCTATACCCTAAATTGGGTGGATACGCGGAAACGCAGTGGACAACTCCGAGCTCATATAATTAGTGCTTACGCGGATACGCGGATAAAGCGGATGCGCGATGTGACACGTGGGAACTGGATACCAACATCGTGTAACGTACTTCAAAATGGTCGGTCGTATATGCAAAATTCAAAGTTCCCGAGAAGAGCAAGCTACAAATATCATATTCATCGTTCCTTAAAACACTGAATTGTGACCGCCTAACCAGGGTCGCTTAAGGGGAAACAATCCTCACTAAATATTCACCTAGTACACCGATACGCAACGGACGATTCCATTGAACCGAGACCAGCAAAGATTGTGATCAAGCATCCCGGTCTTAGTATCATGCAAAATTCAACTCAAGCTAAGTAAATGAGTAAGAATCCCGCGAAAAACATGCTTCAGCCAAGCACCGAGACAGTAAGCATGATACACAAGTAGTATACCTCGTTCTTTAAACCACTGCCCCGAGACAAGCAAAAACCAAAAAGTATCCTCGTTCTTTAATCCACCCTCGGGTAATTTTATCGAACTTGTGATCGCTTAACCAGGGTCGCTTGATGGCAAACAATCCGCACGAAATATTTATCTGGTACACCGCCCTGGGATCTAACTCACTGCGTATCCGCGTATCCCCTCAGAATTATACCTAACATAAATTTCTTAAAAGGGTGGGGTCTTACTCACTGCGTATCCGCGTATCCACCCAGAAATATACCTCATATACAAGAACACCAACTGTGACGATCAAAGTGCACCGAATTAGTAGCCACGTAACCACGTTATTCAGAACTTATCTTCGAAGTGGCAGGGTATTCTGCTGTTACTCTAGAATGATTTTACTGTAAGTCTAACATCGATTTTAGCAAATTTGCCGATTGTTTTGTTCTGTTGATTGATTAATTATGACCCTTATAAATATCACCAACAACTTAAAAAATCTGTTTAAAAAGTAATTGTTCAAAGTCCTTTGTCTGTAATAGAGACTGTAAGCATGAGATTGTCAAAGAACCGTAGTATTGTAAACAGAATACCGGTGGGGTCGATTAAAAATTACCACATGACGTTCCGCGAATCCGGTCAGAAGCGCTGATTGGTCGGCGGAGTAGTTACATTGTTTTATTTATTGTTTACGAATGACAGACAAAAAACAAAAGGCCACAAAGGTCAAATCTAAACGCAAAGAATCTGTAACAAAACAAGAAGAAGCATTTGAGTTTTGCTGGAGTTCGTTGGCAGATGAACACAACACGTTTCCAAAATCGACCATAAAAGACGTAAAATTCGACAAATTTATATTTGGAACCCCATGACTACCGGATTTACTATGTAAACATCGATTTGAATCATCAGTATGGAATTTCTGTCGCCGAGTCACAGACGTTCCTCCGCGCGAAACGTCCCCAGCGGCGAAGAGCGAGGAGAAACGGATGTTTTCGCAGGCCACAGGATGTCGCGAAATCAAAAGATGCGAGAAGAGTAAGAGAACCCGTTTGCATCGCGCTTGGCCGAGTTCAATACCACATTAAAACTTCTCAGGATTACAGATCAATGATATATTGTTCCTGTTAAGTTTCGATTTGGGAGAAATCTGGATTTTTTGGCGTTACTTTTATTGCCGTTGCCCGGAGGACCAAAAGATGGGAAGCACTTTGATGCCGATTGAAGGCTTATTTCTTCTGCCAGCTTCCATACAAGCTCAGATAATTGTGAAAGGAATACGCAGAAATGAAACGGCAACAATAAAGACTGTAAGAAAGAAGCCATTGAGACATTGATGTGACTGAGGAGATCTTATGGAGGGGAGCTTCGTGAAGCAGAATGTTTTGCAACGACGCGTTAGTAAACTTTTAAACCTTCTTACGGCCGACAAAATCAAACAAACAGGCGCTACATGTTTAGAAAAACAAGTGCATGAAATCGTAATATGATTTTTAACTAACCTTTGCGATGATTCATAGCGTTGAGATTGTATTTTTATTTATGTCTTTCAAACGTTTGTGGCTAGAACGCGAGCAAATCAAGCAAATATTACTGGACTTGGAACAATTGACCTCTGACATGAGTTTCACTTTAGAAAAGTTGTTTTTAAAGCGAGCAGAACGAGATTTTCGGGTCGCGAGGCGGCCCTGCTAGCAATAAAATCGCGAAGAGTCTTCGTGCCCCGAGCCAAATTTTAAATAAGACGAAAGTCTTCTTCGAAAGTCTAAAATATTACTTGATAATATAAACAACAAATCTCCGTCGGCGGTGCGGTCCGGAAGGAAATCTTGTGAGTAAATGTGACAGTTCTATTGTCTTTTAAAGAAAAAACATATGACGCTCGCGCATGCGCATAATCGGGACACTGTCCCTTTAATTAATGCATCGGTGTATCAAATGCATAGCAAGACTCTTTCCGACTGGAAATTTTCATCACTGTGTCAA